TAAAATGAATATCAGTTATTTGCACTTCTGTTTAATCCGCATTATGTCAGTAGCTCCATCAGGCCCCCTAGGGCTTCAGGGACCCATAAATGCTAAGATACTTTATATAAATGAGATATCCAGAAATATAAAGTTTTGTTTGTTCACAAATACAAATGAATAAACTGCTAATATAACATTGCTTTTTAGGTTGGTCAATTAAACTACTCCCCTTCTCCCAGATTTCACTAAATATAACACAGAAGCTTTTAGAGGTGCTGCTGTTTTTAGCAGCAAGAGGGGGACTTAAGTCAAATTCTGCTCAAGCCTAGAGCTGGTCCAAGGCTCATACAGCCTTGGACCAGCCCTGCATGATGAGTTAAATCCGCTGCACAGCGCAACAAATGGGATATTTAATGTAATGTTGCTAATGTGGCTTTAGTAGCTCTTCCATTTCGTGTCTGTTAAGTTTTTAATAAGAGTCCCAGAAAATGTTGCTCGAGTTTATGGGATCTATGCATATTAACTCTGGCTGACTAAGAGGACTAAGCATTTGATATGGTTTGATGCTTAGTGTAACCGCAAAAATAAAACAAAAAATAATGAAATAATATAAAACCAGCGTAATGCGTGACTACGAGGAGAGCACAAAAACTCCTCACCTGGCTGAACCTTCATGATGAGATCAGCACTGGTTCGTTGACCGCTAACGCTCCGACCAACCGGGAACATAGACATAAACTTTATCAGCTGTTGTGAAAACTGGCATGAGAAGGTGATATCTTTCCAGATTTACACAGAAATCAGATCATAAAGGCCTGAGAGACTGAAGTAATCTTGCATGTTGATCAAATGACGATTATAAGAAATGTATTTTTGTATTTCTATTTACTAATGTGATTGATTGATGATTATATAAAAGAGTCTTGGTGTAATAAAAAACAAACAACAACATGAATAATATAATGGAAAATGATGAATTTCAAATTTATAATAGTATTAAAATAAAATGATTATTTGATGTTGAAGAAATACATTAAAAGATGATTGTGTTTGATGATTTATGAAAATCATACAGCATGTAAGAAATTGTGACTGATATAATCACAATGTGTGGGGCATAGGGACATGTTGGGACAAGTGGAGAATAGGGGTAGTTTGTAGGTGCAAAGGCAAGTCTGGACATGTCTAACTGTGTTCCAAATAAGGAAGTGCAACTGGGAAGTGAGCCCAGATGTTTGAGTGAAGATAAACACATAAAGCAGAAGTGGACACAGAGTTGACCGAATATAGGAAGGCTTGGGAACTTCCATAAGGTAATCAAATGTTTGAGAAGTCACGTACACCATTCCCATTCCCATGTGCAGTCAATGGGTGAAAAGGGATATAAGCCCATGAAAGAGGGGAGGCAGGGTTCTTTGTCTCCAGTGTGAAGTCGAGCTAACAAGAAGATGCAGACAGAAGAACAGCAGAGGACCACGCCCTGGAGCCAAACAGGGACAAGACCCATTGACCCTCAGTCCCTCTGGCCATGCTGGATGTACCCCCAGCATGGCCATAAATCCATTACTCAGTTCTGGTTTGAAGAAAAATGAGCTGGAATGCCTTCAGTTGGTCGACACAATTAAGAGCTATAAGTCCAAATGAACTATTTTCAAAATCAAAACATATAGTTTCATGCCAAGTGATGTAAAGTAGAAAAACAGACAAAGAAAATGTTTAGTTATTACTGGTACTGAAGTATATTCAAATGCCATCCAGGCTCTCTCATCTATTACAATCCCTAAAACTACCAAGTTCAAGCAGGTAGTTGATTCAACCACTGCTCTGTGCTCAGTCCAAAGATCTCAAGGTTGCTGCAACAGACTTGGGGATTAGACAAAGGTCACAGAGGTGATGAAGATCTGAGTGTTTGAAAGACAACAAACAGCACTGCTTTGTTTCTACTCAAAAGAGGATTTGCCATACAAAGACAAGACCCTGGCCAAGGACACTAATGCCTTCTGTTGCCGAGCTCATCCATCATCTGGGTATGAGTTAAACTGCACCCCAAAGCCATGCTCAGTAAATTGGTGACACATCTTAGGGAAAGTAGGAAAGATTTAACCCTCTCAGGCTCAAATTACTTGCAAAGACTAGCTAAGTAGCATTTAGCTGTTGCAAATCTGCAACATCTGCCTGGAGAGGGTTAAGTTGATTTTGTTCCATTTTATTTTTATTCTTAAATTGTAATCATTGATAATTAATCTGTTTGTCATCTACTCCTGCTAAACTCTTGCTTAATAAAGATGCATTAAAATTCTAATGAGATTGGTGGACATTGAAATTAATTGAGTTATCTATTGATTTTGGTTCCTCTAATTAGTGTAAAACCCATGTACATGATTCTAGAAATGTGGTGGCTTTGGAATTTCTTTAGTGTTTGTAAAATAATAATAATAAATTTTATTTGTAACGCACCTTATATTTCAAAGAAATCTCAAAGTGCTACAGATACAAATTGTAGAGCTTACAATAAAACACAATAATACATCTCACATCAAGTGGTACAAAAATAAAAATTAAAACTAACAATTTAAAGTAAAACTTACTCTTCTAAAAGGCCAGTTTAAAAAGGTGAGTCTTAAGACCTATTTTAAAGGTCTCCACACCTTGTGGGGCTCTCAAGGGCTCTGGAAGGGCATTCCAGAGCCGCGGAGCTACTGCCTGAAAAGCCCTATAAATAATGATGCTAGGGCTTATGTTGAGCTACTAAAAATAATCTAACCAGTAACAAGTGCTCGTTGTTGATAGACAGAGCGAGAGCTATCATTGACATGAATGGTTATTGGAGTTATGCAGTTGTGAGGGCTACTCAACTGATTACTTCTTAACTAAAAAGGGTCACAACTCTTGGATTGTAGGTAGTTAGAGCTAGATGAGTCTCCCTCGACACCAGCTTAGATAGATTATCTCTCTTAGACCTGTCACAGGGTAAGACTTCAGGTTTTAGAGATTTTCCGGACCCATTAGATGGAGAGCTGGTCAGTAGTCACTCCATGGCTGTTGTGAGGTTTAGGGCGGGGCTGGCTATTGCACAATAATGTCAGAGCATAGACAGACCTGGGTGCTGGGCACCGTGTTGAGATATAAATACTGCATATAACCCTGCATTGTTCGCAAAAATAAATCATTCTCACCACTTGCTCAATCTCTGAAAGAGCCACTAGAAGTTATTACTGCGGTTCACATAAAGCTGCACAGCCAGAGCTAATGCGGTGGGTTTTAAATTCCTACCTTGATTTCTTCATAGAAATCAAGGTAGACTATACGCAGAGGCACCAGCTGTGTGATTGGATTGTGCGCTGCCAGCTTTAAATGCATAAACTATAAACCTATTTATTATCAACCTATCCTTTAGGAATAAATCTGCTCAGCTAGTGAAATGCTCAGAGCAACAGAGACAGTTGCAATCTGGTTTAAAAAAAAGAAAAAAACTAAAGCCATGGTGGGTCACCAGGCTTAAAATAGACTGGGGGAAAACGTGATTAATAATCTCACACAGTCCACTCTCCTCTCTCGGCAGAAAAGACTGTTACAAATTGACGCTTGTCTTTTTCTCTCTCTAATTTTTTTTTTGAAAACCTGAATATAATTTTTATTGGCAGGGTAGTAACTGCCACAGCCGTCCTTGTCTTCCACTGATTGCTGCTGAACACCGTCAAGTGTGCCAAGCAGGAACTAACCATTTCATGCAGATCCAGGAGGGTGTTCAGAGCAAATATGAACATGTGTTTTCTGGTTTGGGAGTGGTAGCATTTAATTTTTACTGCTGAAAGTAATTTCAGAAAACACAATATGATTACTTTTGTAATTGACAGGGCCCCAATTTTTTAAAATTTCTATTTAAAAAAACAAAACAAAACAAAAGAAAAACTATTTTGTGGGGGTCTCCGTGTCGGACAGATTACCCCGGTAAGAAGGAGAGGAAATGTTCATAAAGGAGGAACGTTTCATGTCGGTGTGAGTCTGCATGACTAAGCTAGCAGGCTGTGAGAAACATACTGGGATAACACAGGAATGATGATGCCACTGGTATTTATAAAGGACACATTTTGAGATGTTTTTAGTAATAATTAGAAAAATTATGAATTTCAATAGAATACATAAAAACAGAAAACAAATAGAGCAGTTAAAAAACATCTATTATTACAGTCTAAAAATGTTTTAAAAATGACTAGACACATCTTCAATAAATATTGGGAGAGTTGTAACCAAAATGTAAAAACGTTCAATGTATGAAATGATTGGAAGAATGTTAGGATTGTGTAGTTAAAGTTTGCTGTTAGTAATTAACTTCAAATTAACTTAAATTGGATGACCTTCGATGATGTAATGGATGGTTTAATCTCAATGAATACATCAGCATCATGTGGATTTTATACAGTATATTGGGTTGGTTTTTATTAGCCTTTGTTGTTTGAAGTAGTAGTAATTACCTGTAGTAATGAGCTTATCCTGTTAGGATAAATTCATATCACTCACTTGAATTAAGCTAAAAGTTCTGAAAAAAATCAAAGAATATGATCCTCATAGTTCTGCCTGCTCTGTCCAGATAAGTAGGTTTGTTAAACTGTGTAGAGAAACACTAATTGTGTAAATGTTTTCAACAATAATGTGTTGAACCATTAGCACAAGAAATATGCCAGACTGAACAGAACATATCACCCTTATTTGGGAAGTTTTGAAGTATGGTCATGCGTCAAGAAAACTGTTATTTTTTTTTTTTTGTGTGGTTTTTTTTTTTATCTTGTTTTGGTTCAGTGGCTAAAAACAGCCCTGATTAGAATTCTGATCCGTTTATTCAATATAATTGCTTGAGTATTTTGAAGTTTTAAATTAAGATGGGAGATGACCATTTCCGAAGTATTCTGCTCATGTCTGCTGTATGTTGAAGTTGAATTGCTAGTCTTTCATAGTGGATTTCCCATACATATGATTCTGGATAATTTTCCATATTTTGTTGTTTAATTTATTCACAGGTTCAATTGCAAGATGCTCCTACATTAAGTACCATTACTCGTCAGCTGCAATACCCAAAAATCTGTCCTACAACATCACCAAGACAATACGACAGGATGAATGGCACTCCCTACGTAAGTCTGCAGAAAGTTCTACTTTTCTTTTCTTAAAAAAACATTTTAAAATTGACCTTTATATGCCATACTTTGCTAATCATTTAAGAACTCGGACTACTATACTAATAGTATTGTTCAGAATCTTTTTTTTAAATTCAAGATATTAAGTGCTTTAACAACATTGATGGGGTGATTGGACAACTTGAAGGGGTTCAGGTAAGGAGGGGGAGTTCATGATGCCCCCCACAAGATGCTGCCCCAGGCAGTGGCCCATGACATCCATATCAGAAGCTGACACTGTAAATAAGAAATGACATATAGTCTATGACTGAATTCTTAACATTGGGGCTAATCAGTGTGCCATTGTGTGGAAGTTATTGAAGCCGGTTTCCATTTTCTGAGTCAAATTAGTATATTAACTTGAATATTTGGCAACGTTTTTTTTCTGTTTAGATATTCTTCTGTATGCGACATGCTTTATTTGCAGGATAAAGAATGGTCGGTAGTCTGGGGTGTTAAAATGTGTTTGGCACACATTGTCATTGTCCAATAGAACTTTCACATGCCAACTGTTTCTTTCAGCAAACGCAATGTTTCCTGTATCTCTGTGTATTTGGCTTAATGCAGTGTGACGGCTTTCATGTGAACAGCTTTGCATGCTTTCATTTCAATGAATGCAAGAAGAAAAGGCTTGCTGGTTTCATGTCTGGAGTGCACTTTGTGACATTCCTCAAATCATAAAATAAAAAAGTCTTAAACAGTAAACCTTGGTTCACATAGCAAAATTTAAAAATAAGAACCATGGAGATGATACAAAGCTCTACATTCCAACGTTAACAGGTGACCATGAACCCATGGAAGCACTGAGTAAATAGAGCAAATCAATGTGAGGAGGTGCCATAACTTTCTTAATTTAAAAAAACTGAAGTCATTACTTTTGACTCAAAAAAGAAATCATTCAGAATCAGCACATCATTTCAGTTATTATAGCTAGAACCTAATAATTACAGAGTGGTCATAGACTCAGACCTGACCCTTCAGAGACACACCGACAAATACAAACTTGACCTTCTATCACATGAAGAACATTCCAAGAAATGAAATACAACATATTTTTGCAGGTTTTATTACTGAATGTGAGGATTTGGTTGTCTGTGTGTTTATTTAGTGCCTTTGTCTGCCCCTCGATTGCTCACAGCTGTCCCTTGTTTGCCCTGATTAACTTCCCTGTGTATTTAAACCCACCTGTGTCTCTTGTTCCCTCTCCGATCCTTGTCATTGTCTTTGCTGTCTTTTATTGTTGTTATTGCCTCATTCCAGTGCTACCATTGGTGAGTTCCTTGTAGTGATGGTGAGATGAAGCCTCATGAGGCATTGAACCACTTGAGCCAACTGGTTCAAGAAAGGGTTAATTTCTTGAAGCTTCATGTGCTCATGAAACCACCTACTGGCCAGGTGTATAATCACAGCCAGCTGTTTCTTAACATGTGTGATGCATTGAATTTTTGTCTATTATGGCTCTTGGGAATGATGTCACAAAAGGTGCAGGATGAAATCATTTGTCTAAATTATGTATATACACATGTGTATCATAAAATATTGTTTGAATGTATTCTCTGTGTGTAATTTTTCCCAAAATAGTAGTGTCATGTGATATGGCATGTTGTGTAATAATGTTTTTCTGTGACTCTAGAAAAATGGCCTGGACTTAATCAGGCAGAGGACAGAGAAAGTGCTTGTGGAACTAGGGAGGGGGTAGTGAATAGGCTAATGCTTGTGTTATTATTGTACCCCAACTCCTTGGAGCACAATAAACACCTCACCTTTAAATAAAATAAGAAACTCGCCTACAACAACCCACATTTTGAATGGAGCCTGTGGGGTTTATAAAGCTGTCAAACCACTTCCTGAAGCAGTCACATGGTACAGCCAGGCAGCGAGGCCTCGGACGTCATCGTTTTCGGCTCCTCCCCTAAATGAAGCAAGCCTCGATACGCACTTTACGAAAACGTCCCCTCCTTTACTCGATATACGCTTCGAAGCCTCGGCACATCACGTAACATCACTAGTTTCTTGCCTTTTAGTTCACCTGTGCTGCCTGGATTCCTGTTAATCTGTGAGAGCTTTGATTAAATCATCCTTCTTCACACCACAGCCTGGGTCTTCCACATGAATCCTCACCCCAACAAACCCATATTGTGACAGAAGGACCTGACCCAAAAGTACTATGGTGAGGGTTAGCGGTCAGAGCACAAAATTAACATAGGTCCAGCATACTTGATGTTTGAAAGGGACTTCAATGACTTAAAGTCCACTATAAAGGACTAAGATGAAGCCATGGCCAAGCCTTACTCTGTCTGCAGACTGCTCGGGATTCCCATAAAAATGGTCTGAGAAGACTCCACACGTCCAAAGCTCATTTGACTTGAGCTGTTGGAGGAGGCAATGCGAGAGGCAGCTCTGGCCATAATGGCTGGAAAGTCGCTTCCATCTAAACCAGAGCTGCTGGTTCCTCATTTCCTGCTGCTCCAGTACCTACTGTACAACTCCAGCCCCAGTTAGCAGGCCATCTGCTCCACCTGAGCCCCCCAGTGCTCCTTCTAGTGCTCTTCCCAGTGAATCTCCCCATGCTCCATCCAAGCATCCCTGTGCTCAACCAGGACTATCCAGCAGAGACCCAAAATAAGAAAAAAGCCTACACCTCTATCAGAAAACTCCTGAAAGAAAAGGGTCTCCGCTTCCAAACCCTGCTGCCAGCCAAGCTCTGTTTATTTTTTGACAGTGAAACGGTCACATTTAACAGCGTGGCAAACACCATGAAGGATCTGAAGAAGAGGGGTCTTGCTCCTGATTGCAGCAGCAATGATGGAGAATCTGGACAGACTATCCTGGGAGATGGTGGAGGCCTAACAGAACTCGGACACACATGGAGAGAGAGTAAGGAGAAAACTCATTGGATTTTATCATGAGGTTGGGGATGCAGCCTCCTCTCCAAGAAGGTGATTGCGGTAAGATTCGCAATCACAGTGATCTGATCCAGTATGTGGACAAAGAACCAAATATTTTCATAAAGAGACACTGTCAGACATTATTATAATAATTTCTCATTTAACCGTAGCTAATATTAACAAGAAATACATTATTGATTTTAAAAAATAGATATTACCTGACCGATGTTTTGGGAACCCGCCTAAAGGCTCCGATTGTCCACTGAACTTATACTTGTACTGAGCTATATCAGTTTGCATTGTAGTTTGCATAAAAAAAAGTCTCATTAGGTCTTTTCTCTTCACCCAGGACTCCCTAACAAATCATTTTGCTTTGGAAGTCGTTCCTTTAGTACGTTTTAAAGTTACAGGCTCTTTGTTTTTTATTTTTACTTATGTTTTAATAATAAGGTCACCTTCTTTATGCAAGTTAGAAGGATCTATTCATTTAAAGAAATATATCCCAAAAGTAATATACATTTATAACTATTAATGTTCACAAGTTACAAAATCAAATCACGAGGAAAGCTCATAGCTAAGATAAAGAGAGAACAGCAACTCATCATCTGACAAGAAACCCATTTAACAAAAGAGAATAATTTTTAAAAATGAGGTTTAAAAGACATTTTATTCTTCACATCCAGCTGGACACACTAGGGGTGTAGCAATACTAATTGCAAATAATGTGGACTTCCAAGTAACAGATTACAGACGAAGAAGGCCGTTTTGTTTTGGTGAGGGGAACACTAGACTCAAAGTAACTTTACTCAATTTATATGGACTTCCAGGACATGAATAAAAATGTATTGATTAAATATGTGATCTGAAATTGGCAGAAACCTCTGGTGCTTTAACATCTGAAGCGGAATGGAATACACGAAGGGTTTTGCTTTCTCAAGCCCTTTAAAAAAATCAACTCTGCATCACTGCATATAAGAAAAATTACTAAAGATTGGCTTAATTTATGTCTGGAGGGAATGGGTAAGGAGTTCACCTTTTTCTCTCACTCTCATGCTGTTTACTCAAGAATTGACTATTCTTTTCCTGTTTAGAGCAGACAGATAAAGGGTCCTGGACTGTAGTATTAAAACTAGGGATGTGTCACTATGGAGTATACTTGAAATTATATTTAGATGCTTATCCTAAGACAACAACATGGAGGCTTAACACAGCTCTGATAAACTCTAATAAATTAAAGGTATTCATTAACAAGGAATTTATGAAATATGCGGAATTTAATAATGGCACAGAAACGTCTCCAAGTACATTATAAGTTTCTGGGTGGGAAAATTATAATGTGGGAATTAAGGAAGAAGAAAGAAAAATCTGAGCAATTCAATAGTCTGAGTAAACAGCTAAACAAATTAGAGCAGAAGCATATTGAAACCAAAGACCTACTGTACTACAGCAGATTCCTGCGATAAAAGTGGAACTAAATAAGAAGCTCAACGACAAGGTAATACTTGGTCTCAAATATTTTAAACAAATTTATTAAGAAAATGGACCTTGAGGAAAAAAACATTGGCCTGATGACTACAACAACTACAAAGATCCATCTTTGAAGTAAAAAAACGCATTTCCAACCAGATGTTTCACACCAGACAAAATACATAAGTCATTTGAAATATATTATAGGAACTTATATAGTCAACCCTAATTAACCAAGCTTCCCTCAGTAAAGCAGTTTCTAGACACTTTGGATCACCCTTCAATTGTCATGGAGCAAAATAAAAGGATATATGCAGATTTAACACCAGCAGAGGTCAATAGGTTAAGGCGCCAGGAAGGAGACGGATTACCAGCTGAATGGTATAAAATTTTGGGGAGGCTCATAACACCTTTGCTGTAAAAATGTTTTAACCATGTGCTTAAAGGAGGTCAGACGACACCAAAAAGATAAAAGTGAGTGCAGCTCATACTGGTCCATTTCAGTCTTGAACATTGATTATAAAATATTCATGGCAATAATTGTCAGTAGACTATACAATATTATCCCTGAACTAATAATACAGGACTTATTAAAAATAGACG